GGGTTGCCCAAGAGAGATGGATTGTAAAAAGCCACAAAATCTTGAGCTGAAGATTGGTTAGGTTGCACAGCAGTTGGAGCTTCCGGCGCTATTTAGAAAGGCGAGGTCAAGCTGAGAGGATTAAAGCGTCATTTTGAGATTTGCTGAAAGAAGCAGAAGCTCTGGTTAAATCTTTTTTTCTTTTTCTTGCCTTTAAGCTCATTCTTCTCTCGCATATTTCACTTCTTTTTCCCTATTTGTCAGTCTCAATCAACAGCCATCAGGCTCTCTAGAGTAGGCAAGATCGTCCCCGAAAGGTGAGATATTTTGTAGTTGGTGCAGAAATTTGGCAAATCTCCTCTCGTCTCCTCCTCCTCCTCCTTCTCCTCCTCCTCCTCCTTCTCCTCCCACACCAGCACCACGTCCATGCCGTAGTTGGTGCGCCTTGGAAACATCTCCATTGTCGATTTCTTCTGGTCCATGTCTAAGTCTGGCAGACAGACAGGAAGCCTCAACTGGCGAAATGCTGCGCAACCAGTGCACTACCACCTCTTCTGCTCGTACCACCGCCAGAGCCTCAACTCGATAGGGTTTATGCCTACCAGACGCGCTAACCACACAACTTGAACCAGGCACACGGCGCCTGGAGACACGATGAGCCGAATCTTTTTCGTCTTCTTTTATCTCATCAGCATCTACAGCAGCGGCAGTATCAACAACGTCATCGGGTCCATTGAGGCTGTTATCATCCTCACTGTCCCCGTCGTCCCCATCTTCGAGGACGCCATTGCTGGCCTTTCGACGCAGGTAAACAGCCGAAGAAAAGTCTACCAATTGTCCAGAACAGTCTCGAGTGTCAGATGCCTTCTCTGCGTCCGGCGATCTGACCAGCAGTGCACCCTTGGGAGCAAGTCTGGCGGGCAGAATATCGGATTCCTCTTCGTCTTCACCCGGATCCAGGTCCCAGGCTATCAGATGGCCTGACTCAAAGAGGGCGTAGACCAAGGAGTGACGAGATGGTGACCATAGCAGCTTTGTAAGGCTGAGTTGAGAAGATGTAGCCCCGAGACTGGACAAATGGTGGTGAGAAGGTCGGACAGACTCAATGCAAGATGACCAAATACTCCACTCAAGCAGGCAGTTTGGTTGGTAAAGACTAAATAGACGGATTACTCCATCCGCATGGCCTGGAGTTAAAAAAAAAAGGCAAAAAACACAAGTATAGGAAATATTCTGGAAGAAAAAAAACAATAATAATGATACCAACCCACAAATGTTGTGGTTCAACATTGAACCAAATCAAAACAAACTGTACCACAACATTTGTGGGTTCGCACACACGAGACTAGGGCATGGCAAATCATAGACTTGGTAATAGGGATAGAAACAGAATAGAGACGGCGGGGATCGGAGCTAGTTGGCTGACGATAGGTCTGTTGTACCAAAGATGTGGTACATGTAGCTTGCGCCTCGAATTAGTCACCCAGACACAGAGGAGGGCGAATAACGACTCGAGTAGGACAGATGTGGT